CCTTTTTTTTGGGGGGGGGGGGGGGGTATATTTAGGTACTAAAGTTGCTCAAAATACATTGCTTTCCCGCGCCTGGCAGAAAACTACGGCCGCGCGATCGTTTACTGGCAAATCGTAAAAAAGTTAAAAACGAACAGCGCACTGTGTCCCTCGCCTAGTAAAAATGGTAGTGACTCTTGAGTGAGCGCGTTACTTTATGTGTTTGTGTGGATGATAATATTTTTGTTTATAGTGCAAGTGCGCCTGTGCATGAAGTGAATAATGCATGTGTGTTGCAAAAGTGCCCTTGATAATTCGAAGATTCACTTTGAAAGAAGTCCCGAGAGTGAATAACATGAGATTTTATTTTTGTTTCCGGCAGATGTAAATCATCTCGATAGGGTCCCATGGCAAGGGTCTTAGATATCAGCAAGGCCTCTTCTATATAGTTATAAGATATTTTCACGGCGAGAGTCGGATCTAGGAAGGTTCGTTAATTAGCGGATATATTACGTACATATATCGGCGATCAGTTAAAGTCGGAGCCCGCGGGACCGAAAATTCCATAAAAAATCTAAGCCAAAACTTTTTTTTTTATCAAACGCGTCGTAACTCGGTACGCGATAGGAAATACTAAAACTTTTCAGCGAGTCAGCCATTTACGATAAAACTTACTAGTCGTTTATAGAGTTAAGAAGTTTGAAATTTTCCCGCTCCTTTGCGGGTATTACGATATTTCTTTTCTTTTTTTAACTTTCGTACCGCATTCCAATATAACGTAGTAGACCCATCACTTACGAGTTAATATAGGTTTAGTTTTACGTCCTATAATTCAATGCATTAATTTGTGTAATGTCGAGTCAGTGTTTGTGTGTGTGTCTAACATTCCAAGAATGTACATTCGCATTCTCCAGCACGTGTGCCTTGTACATCATGTAATGAGTGTGTCTGCGATTGAGCGTGAAACGTGAGGAGTGTTGTCGATATTGCGCAACCACGCGAATTACAATCATATAGATATACGTGTATACACGTAATACGTAATACGGTACAGTGGACAGCATTCGGATTGCTTTGTAACATCGATATCGGATTATAATCTATGTCGATCGGAGCGACGGCCGAAAAAAAATGGCACTCGAGGACTCAGGAAGGACTCGATCCTAACGTATATTCATCCTTTTCGTTTATACGTTTTCTTTGTAATACATTTCTGATTGTCGTTTCATTTTTTTCTTTCATTTCGAATTTTTGAACTCTTGATACTCCGGCCAGTCCTCCGGTCGCCATTCCGTCGTTCGAAAATTGTTTTTTTTTTTCTTTTTCGTCGTTCATCGAAATACTTACTACTTGACACACATTTTGGGTCGCACACTTAAGGAAGGCCACATTTAACTATTCTAAAAAATCGTTTTCTAGCGTCTGGACTAACACACTCGTAAAATTTAGCCTAGATCAGAAAGACCCAGGTCTCTACCTAAGCCAATAATGGTCGGAGCTGTTTTTTCTTTGTTGCGACATGTGAAGATTCGACCGGACCGAGGATACGAGGGATTTCAGCCCTGGCTGATATGGGTACATTCTTTACTGACGTTTACTTCTTCATGTCAACCTAAAGACGTTGAGGAGAATCCTCAGTCTTACGGTGCGTATCTTCCTCGACAGTGACCTCGACGGTTTCGCACCGGTTTCTACAATAATTACGTTTCCGGTGATCGCAATATGTGTTATCTCGTGTACATGTCGAATGTAAAATGCCGCGAACTGATTTCTCCGGATACAGGTCACAGTTCGATTGAATCGACGGCTACACGCTTTTAAAAAACTACGGAATCACGATTGACGTGTAAAAATGTTATATAATACGACGCGAAGCTCTTTTATGTTTCTCCATTTTTTTTCGATTTTTTTCCACCACTGCAACACGTTAGAGCGTCGTGACGTGTCGTTATATTTGCGAGTGCGTTGCGAATTGCCATATTTAAAAAGAATTTTCGGAACATTATTTCGTTTAGTACCATTGATCCTTTCACTTGAAAAATTTCCCCTCAGAGTTTGACTCTTCTTCTGTGAAAATAGTACTTCCCCGTTCTCTTCAGATTCTTCCTTTGTGCATGCTCGCGAATAACGAACCCGAAATTGCGTTGTTGCTCGACGTCGCTTACTATCATAGCACCAAGTTCAAAAACGCCAGTTAACCGGTGGAAAAAAAAGCTCAGGCTGGGTGAGTCGGCGCGCTTTGGGAAATCAATTGTAAAAGCGGCTCAGACGGGGAGCTTTCCTGGTACGAATTTGAAGCAAAATAAGCGAGCTTTCCCTGGCGCACTTCCTCGCACGGAACAATGCAGGATTTTTGACGATTTTGCTAGGTACTGCTGGTGTAACTGGCGACACTCGCAATGACGTTCTGTTGCTGCTGCTGCTGTTGTTGATCCTCAGTTTGTTTTGCTTCGAGTATCGCGTCTTTGGAGGTTTCCACGATTTTCTTTTCTATATCCGTGTTGTGCAGTAGCGTAGCCTGCATTGCGTTATACATACCGGTTCTAGCGAAGCGCGAAGCCTTGGTCAGCAGATGAATACTACTGGCGAGACCTAGAATGTCTGCAAGTGGAAAGAGTATTTCGGCTTGCATTTGACTTCCTTCCTCTTAGAGACTGTCGTCACTGTTGTGACCGTTTGATTTTGTGTATTTCGTGTATCCACAATTGATAGTATTTAAAGTTGTTAAAAAGTAAAACTTACCTTTCTCGTTGTGAATGGGGATGCAGTGAGGATTCTCCTTCTGGCGTTGGGCAGCATTGGTGATTTCCTGTTTTCGGCATTCCTGAACGAACTTGATAGCCTCTAGCCAATATTCCATGGCCTTGTGAACACGTTGGTTCATCGTGGCACCGCGTAAACGTTCCATCTGTGGAAATATCGTTTTATATAAGGTTATTTAAATATCAAAATTATAGCCCAGTTCTCATAGACGTGATACGATAGTTTGAGTTAAGCATCATTTAAGTGAAGAATTACTTTATTAAAATTGTATAAATATTTTTAGTACTCACTTTTGCAATCAGAGTAATGACGCGTGCGTGCTCTCGCAAATGATCAATGATAAGACGATCAACTCGTGAAGGATTACCCTGGAGACGTGGTATTGGAATATTGTTGGCGCTGGTCACTCTCTTCCCAGGAAACTGAGCAGCCAATCCAGCCTCGCACTTTTTACGTTCCTTTTCAAGTTGCTTGAACTGTTCGTAAGTCTGCTCAAGTCTCATGTGCAGTATACTGGCTGGACCAGAACGTCTGGCAGCTCCAGCGCCGTTTCTCATGCCAAGTCCACCACCAAAAAGGACAGGATGTAATGGAGGAACCGGAACTTGAACTGCAACTGGCATCACAGAAGGAAAGACAGTTCCTCTTGTAGTGGTTCCTTGCATCAGTCCTGTATTGAAGAGAACGTCGTTTGGAGGAATTCCACTCATTCCCTGCATCTGCTGACGACGTTGTTTGAAGAGATGATTCAGAATATCATTATCCATGGATGGTCCACTCACTCTGTGTGCCAGATGCGTCCCAGCAGGATAGCCAATATCTTTGGCCAGGTCGTAGGCATCCTTTTTGTATGCATTTACAGTATTAGCTCGTTTAAGGCCATTCTGATAATTTATGACATTTTGTGGAATGGACTTCAAGCTCTCCATGTTGTTGGCAGTGTAACGCTGATAACCATTAGTTGTCTGATAGTTATATTTCATGGATGGTTGTTCCATGTTTCGAGAGCTCAGGTTCCTGGGGAATCCTATGGGCGAGTACTGTTGTTCCTTTTGTTTTGATTTTGGACTGAGCACCTTGAGCAGGTTATTATCGATTCTCTGCTCAAGGTTACTTGACACTGAATTGTCATTAGATACCATATCAGTTGACGATGATACGGCAAAATCATTAAGAGTTGGATAGCGATTGACTATGCGTTTGTAATTCTGATCTACTGGTCTCTCCAGTTTGTAATTATGAGCCTGTTGTTGGAGAAAAAGTTGTTCGTTATGTAGCCCGATGTTTCCCATGTTCAAAAGAGTCGGTTCCTGTAAGTCCTTATATTCCTCAAAATTGTTACGTGGGAAATTATTGGGAAAACAATTTTGTAAAGCTGTGTCTGCAGGTGAAAAGTGTTGCAATGGCGAATTTGACAGGAAACCTGAGTCTGCACTAAGGTCAGTCATAGCTGAACTGGGCCTGTAGCTTTGGCTAGTGGCCGTCACGTTATATGAATCGTGAACGTTCATTATTGGATTGCTGTGCGGATTTGGGGGAGCGTTCTGTCCCATGTTGCCATGTACATCCATTTCATTTAAGACCATTCCTTCAGGTGAATCCAGAGCTAGATTCAGAGCTACGTTGAAGTTGAAGTCTGGGTTAGTACGTGGTGCCATTTGTTGATAGTTGCCAAATAAGTCTTTGGAATAATCTCGCGTAATTAAGTTCTCAGACCAATTAGAGGGTTGCGCGTTATAATTTAATCCATTTGTAGTAGTTAATAATCCATTCGAGAGAGGCACATAGTTTCTGTTGTTACATAAAACTCTGTCGCTGGGACTCAGTGCATTGTGCTGTTGTTCTGATCTTTGTAAGTTAGCCACAAGCCCATTGGAATAAGGATTTCCTTTATCCATGCAAACATTAAGACTTAGATTATTCAGTCCACCACAAATGTTTGTGTATTCACATTCCTCCTCAGTCGTATCAGGAATGCCATTGGACAATTTTCCAAAAGAATAACCCATGTGGGACGTACTAAACTCAACAGGACAGGAAGTTGTACTGTCTCTGACTTTGCCCATTCGAGATGGCTGTAACTCATTCTGATATTGGAAGGAATTTCCATTATAAATATTTGCATATGTGTCATCACTGACAATAGAGTCGTCTTCAAGAATCTTGGCCACCAGATCATTGATCATCGAATTGTTCATATCCTGGCTATCGTCATCCTCCATGTTCCCCTATAGTACCCAGAGACACGAACACATTATACATACCTAAAATTTAATTCCTCAATGTAGACTTACCTTGGCTTTGGTATTTCCACCCAGTAAGTCATAGCTCCAGGGATTAGATTCATTACGGAGATCGTCCGTAGCCCGATTGCCGGCTGACGTATCGAACATACTGATCCCGTGTTCGATCTGCTAACAGAAAAGCACTATGACTCTTTTGCCAAGTTATTTTCCAACGAATTATCTTCCGGCACATAGGCCGGGAAACCACAACGTTATATCTTGGTTAAAATCAGGTCCACGCGAAAACGCAAGAAGTTGCAAGTAAGAATAATCAAGCATCAGTTAATTCACAAAAACTCGTAAATTTCCAATACACTCGGGAACCGGCACGAACTATCTTGGGACGATTCGAGAACTTTGACAGTTGATTTAGAGTCGCAGCGGTACGTCGCAATTGCCGTTTTATTGCGGTAGCCCCGAGCTCCCGGGTTGAGAAAGTGGTTTTAAACCTCCCGATGAAAGGACACTGGCGTTCATATCACGAAATATACCACCGATGCACGTGAATACCTTGCCAACAGCGAGAGCATTGTTGCTGATGATTGCAGCCAAATTTTGCACCTCAGAGAGAGCCATTTGTTAGGAATCACCTCTGCCGCCTGCCATTACCGTTTCACTCGCGCGAATCGTCAGTCGTACGCCTGTCCTCCCACTTCCAACATCTAGCCCGATAGCTCAGATGCGCAGGTCGCACAAAAACAGGGAGCATGATACTATCCTATGCTCTATTCTGGAACGAGCCTCCCAGATCGAAACTTAACTAATATATTTCCAGGAATCAATCATGCTCGTTCGTCATCTCTCTTTCTAATCAGAGGCTATCTCATTCAATCGATTCCTGCCAATTTCCATTCAAAATAAAAAACATTTTTAATGCAATGGAGGCAGTGTGATTGCGCCTGCAGTTTTCCACCCATGCAAAAATTTTGCAATTTTGGAAATTCATATCGTTTGACGTAACGCCTAATTTTATGCACAACTTCGTCTACGTCCATATAATTTTCATCCCCTTCATTTTGGAAATAAAGAATGCTTTTGTCTTTAATGACATCTTTTTCATCAATGGCTGACAATATAATTAATACTGTAGCGCCGCGTATCGGTGTCAACTTGTTGTAAAGAGAAAAAAGTTTTGCAAGATGTCGCGCGCAACCCAAGCCGTGATAAATCTGTCCTCCCGCCAAATCTTAGTCAAAACATTGAGAATTCGGGGTATTGCCGCCGAAAGCAGACTATTAAAAAGAAGTCAGTTTGATAAGATTACATGTGACAATTACAGCCATTTTTCTTTTTTAGTAAGCTTTCTACTCGTTCTTCAACTGTTACAACTGTTGCACTGTAAACAAGAATAATTATGTGCGCAACATCTTCGAATAATGAAAGTATTGAAATCTTTGAATGATAGTCAAATATATGCAAAAATTCATTGCCTATTTACACCTATCTTCGAACTGAAGGAAATAATTTTTTATGATTACATCCTTATAAATGATAAAACATATGCAAGTTATATATTAAGAACAAACCTGCAAGATCCGGTCTGACGATATAAGATACGCTCAGGAAGATAAGAAAGAAATAGGACAAAGAATAAAATATTCGTAACTGAATAATTGCTTATGATGCAATATTAAGAAAATTTACTTCAACAAAAACCGCCCTAACGGAAATGACGACTTGAATTTTTAAGTCAACGATGATTGCCAATCAATAATAGATATGATAAAATAAGAAAATGTATGTTTACTAACTTCTTCAAAAGATACCAAAAGAAGTTTAATACTGCTTACCCCGTATTTGTTATTTCTTTCTGCAATGATTTTCTGGTTTCGTCTGTTGCTCGTACACACTCAGTTTTCTTTTCTTAAATTTTCTTTGGGCCTTGGATAAAGATGTTTTACAAACGCGATACAAACACGGCAATACGAAAGGCGCGAAAAATAGACGCCTTGATTCTCGTATTTCGCAGATTCTCGAATGCGTGCAGTCATACGTAGAGCGCGTGTTTCACGAGAGTCCTTATTGGGGGTGGCGTTCGGGAGCTTAACGGTGGCGTCGAAATTTATTTGATATTCGAAGCACCATCTTTTGAGCTCAGCAAAAACAATAACGTACCTTGGAAGATTGAGGACAAAATGTGAATTTTTCATTGGGCGACTATTTTACCTACTATCGATTTTCAAATGTTTTCCTCATATTCGAAACGTACAATTAAAGTTAATTGAAATATCGTAGAATCATTTTCTGGTATTTCTATAAGAGATAACGAATAGTTTTGAAAAAGTTTCAAAGTTATATTTTATTTGTGGCCAGTGTTACAAGCACTGTACCTTAAATAATCTTCATATAATAATGTACAATAATTACATATGTACCAAGTGACACAATACATAGGGGCCGTTGTCTCGCGCTTTAATTGAGACTTGTTTCATCTTACTTGATAAATCATAATCTTTACATCTCTGAACACAAAAATGAGGAAAAAAAGGTTTCAGAAGGAATGTACATATTTGAAATATGTAAAGACTGAGGGTAAGAAGAAATAGGTGTTAGAGAAAAAGATAAAAGGAAATCCAAATTCGTTGACCCGACATACAAAATAAATGCAACTCTGAACAAGTATAAAGCTCGAATGAAAGGATAATAACAATTTTATCTAATTAATCGAGGTAATTGTTATCAAATATTTTTGATAACAAAGTATCGATAAAAAATGGCTATCAATAAGCGTGCCCGAGCTAAGCTTGAACTAAACGTATCTTATTCCTCCGTTCGTATTTACATATTTACAAGGTTGGCAAGCATTTTTATCTAGATCAGCATCCCTCTTAAAAGACAACGCAGTACTATCGTATATTACGTTTTATACACGTATAAAATTCTGTCCTTGTAAATCTATGGAAGCTTCGTGTATAAGTAAGCTACGCGCGCCAACCTCGTGTTAAGGTTTAGTAGTAATTTATAGATTTAGTCGTTAAATGAATGTATAAGGATCATTTGGAAAGGATGTGTAGAAGAGAAGGTAAGCACTGGCATTCTGTGATTTCACTTGGCCAGGTGAGACTTCGGTCACAGTATGGTCATCGTACTTGTACCACCTAAAGAGACGAATTACGGCAGTTTTATATGTGTAAAATGACATTAATCTTATACTTTGCTATTTGAATAATAAAAACTCACTTATTCTGAGTAGCACTTCTGCAGAAGGCAGTATAATGGCCGCCTTCCATTGTTCCATAATGATTTGACATGGCATAGAGGTTGTAGTTATAATGATGCGGATTGGTTGCCGTTGTCGTATTATCACCATCCGTCACCAAATATGGTTTCAGGTTGAATCCAGTCAGAGGAAAGTCAACAGCCGTATTTCTCTTCTCGAGCCACCCGTCACTTTCGCCGAAGCGATTCAAATGCACTACCACTATGGGAGCAAGTTTTACAAAGTCAAATTTCTTTGTAGCCTCGCGCGCTACCTTGCAACTTGGACACTTCCAGCCGGACACCTTTTGCCCGCTTACGAATTTTTTGATACAGTCCTAGAGTAAAAGAACATTAGGAAACCAATATAGAGTTACCTAATAAGCATTGGAATGCAGATTAATTGTATATACTTACATTTAGTGTACATCTGTTAGAATGAGGTAGGGACATTGTGAGGCTATTGAAGGTCTCATACGTGGTACTACTATTTCCACATGTCGCACAAAAAATACTTGATCTCAGCTGTCCAAAGAAGAGATCGGATATGATTGATCTCTGATTTCCCATTGCCTTGTCCCATTCTTTTTCAGCCACACTCAGTGGTCTGTCAATGCGCACTTTCACTTTCTGATCGATCAAACAAATGATCAATAAATATTTAATTAATATATAAATACTAATGATGACTTTGAAAGAAGACCACGACTCACTTACCCGCTTGAGATCATTGTGCATCCAATCCAAGAGAAATGTCAGAAATTCATGAGAATCTTGCTGTTCGTAACTCTCAAATTGTAGTTTATATTGACCAATGACTACCTAATGATTAAAATTATGTAAAAATATATTGTATTGCATTTGAATTAAAATTTGATATTAACGCAACATACTTTGAGATCGCGCGGTGATATACTCTTGTACTGTCCTCTCCAGAGTGCTTTGATCACCTGGGCGACTTCCTCGGCAACCTGACCTTGCGTTCCGTTTTCATTGCTAGTATTGAGTTCATCCAGGTACATATTATCATTGAAGTATTTGGCCAGGCAAGCAGTATTACTCAAGCATTGTATTATGCTGTTCATATAACAAGAGTTACCCAGGTTTTTCAGTCCCGTGATGCCCGGATGCTGTTAACAGAGAAAAATGATTGGCATAATTAATAATCAATTATGAAAAACTTATATTGTACCTTAATATTAATTTGCGGCTAGAAAATAAACACAAGTATACCTTTTTAAAATAATTGACGATATACTGAGGTGAGAGTTTCTTATGTAACTTTATATAAACCATATTTTTTAGTAAGCCACGATATCCGCAAACTGTTTCACATTACAAAAAGCAAAGATGACCCGCTATAAAGTTTGTCAAAAAGTCTTTAAGCGGATCGACACGCTCTACCATTTTATTAGGTCAGTAGATAAAAAAGCGACAATCGCAAGCCACTAAGTTTTTAATAGAAATTTTTAATTAAACGCGCACAATTATATCACAAGGTCGAGTATTTAAATTCGTTATAATTCGAGTTTCGCAATTACTATCTTGCGAAAGAGGCGGGATCCATAGGAATTAAAGAGTTTTCAAACAAAACGTAACGGCGAGTATTTGGAGGTAGCTGAGGTTGTTTGGACAGTCGCTTCCTGAGGTTTGCAGCGGTCTGTAGCAAACAGTGGTCATTGGATGGAATTGGATTGGGAAGCCTCATTCATGCCGACTATTTCCATATACACGTGCATGTCTTTTATTTAATGTGCTCCAATTAGTAGATACACGCGCCAGGATTATTCAGTTGAGCTTGCCAAAGTTCAAATGAGTTGGCTGATGTATACGCGTTTTGGATGTTCAATGCTGAGAGACTGACACTGCTGATTGTGAAAGCCGCAGCCGTTGGAGACGACTTTCTGGAGGACACCGAGTGAGCTGTTTGATTTGCCTATCAAGACGACGATGCCAATGTAAAGGGACATCTTAATATCTAAGACAGTGCGATATATCAGATGCTTATTGAATAACTTGGTAAATGACGCTATCTGACTTCTCCAATGATAAGGAGCAAGGCCAGACAGAAGTACCTTACCAGAAATCTACAAAATCCACTCGCTTCTCGTTCTTATCTCTTGGCAAATATTAAAAATTGAAATAGCCAAACGAAGTAACATTTGCTTCTTTTCTGCGGCGTATACAGATAAAACGTTTAGATACTCACAGGGTTGCTGTTGTCAACTACGTTGAAGAATTTTATTTGAACCATCTTCCCACTCGTTAAAGTACTATAAGGGCGGATTCTGCGTTACTCAAATTATTACCGAATCAGCGACTAGTGAATAAAATGATGTGACTTTTGCGGTTGATCATTTTAACGTGTCGCGGATTGAATTTTGGTATCGCGAGAGGCCGAATCTCTAAGCCTGAGAGCTGCCAGGCAACTGGCACTTGATAAATTAGTTATCTCACACGAACGTAACGTCACGTGAACATGCTATCATACCCTGCTTTGTGATAGTACATAATACAGTTTATAATAAACACTTAATTTGCCAAGTGCACCTATCGGTTGATAATCGCTTCTACTTAGAACAATTCTGCATTTCAGTGGCAAAATAGATACTTATCAGTGTCGAGCGACATTAAATCCATGTCAGTATTATCGATATTAAGAAAAACAAAATATATTACGAAATAAGCGTGAACTTCTTCATTCGTAATAATAATCTGATCGTTATATTGACTTTTGCTACCCCGGGTAAGCCACAAGCCAAAACGTGACTGTTTGGCAGAAAGCAAATCCCTTTAGTGGTATTAGCATCAAACGTCAGTGGCTAAGTATTAGCTGAATGATACGTCATTGTCTAGAACTAAAATGTTAACGTTTCGAGTATATTGTACTATTTGTCATGATTTTTTCAATTAACAATCTCTTCTATGAGTTAAACGATTAACCGCATGTAGATTTCAAGTTAATTGAGATTGTGCTGTAATCCCATTTTTGCTATCAAACTGGGCTCCTTTTATTTGTATGATAAGCATCGCTACGTGTATGTGGATGTCACTGTAATCTTTAATCGAAAGTATTGAGATCATCTTTGAACAACGCACATCGTACTCAGTGGTTCGCTTATTTTTCTTGGACGGAACTGATAATAAAGAAAAAGGTCGTTTAAATATTTACCACAGTTCGAAAAACTGGATCCATTCTTTGCTCACGATCTCGCCAACTTATTGGCGCATATTTGACATTGCTGTTGTTGTTTAGACCAGCTTGGTTCCGATTATTCTGCTGTTGGGGTTTTGAAGATCTGTCCACTTCAGGTACTTTTCGATCATCCAGCTAATGTGAAGTTTGTTGTAAACAAAAATTATATAAAGAAAAAGAATTTACTTTTCTTATATTAAACAGATAGATAGGGTAACAACCGTGAAATGCCTCTAGGGAATTTTAACACCAGATAAATATTGCTGTATTCTTGAAAGAATTTCTGATAGCTAATGATCCAAATTGTATAATTTATAGAACTACAATCGGGCTATTTCACACGTTACCCTTTTGCGTAGCGAGTAGAATGTTTGAAATTCTTTATAATAGTCGACACGAATAAGAAGTACTCATTAGTGAAAGTATTGATGCAAAACAAATAATCTAGGGGGAAAAATGAATCTAGAGTTCAGTGCGTATGACTAAGTGTGTTTGTTAACATCGATTTGGACGTTCAGTATAGAATTTCAAACAACCTTTCTAAATAGGCGAACGAGAAGCGATATTTACTTGATGTTGAAGTTTTAACTTCTTTACCTGCGCAAGGTTTGGACTAGAATAAGAGCGTTTGAGACCACCATTGCTAGATGGTCCATCCATCTTCAAAGGTTCCTTGTGTATCTCATCCTCATTCGGTTTCTTAATCAGGAACTTTTTCTTCTCTTCTCTCTCAGGCACTTTTCTGCCAATTCAAAGATTCATTTTAGAAAAATGCAACGATAACAGTCGATTACTATCACTTACATACCCATAAAGTTTTTTTCGTTCAATAGCTATTTCTCTGAGTCTTTGCTCTGCAGAACCGATACTCAAATCCAATTTAACCTTTTCCTTCTGATGAGCAGGATTCAATATTACGTCGTCCTTTTGGAATTTCGCTAATTCCTGTCTGATCTCAGGATTTTGCTTTCTCTAAAATAAAGAAGATATAATGCAACTAAAGATGCAACGTAGATTACAAGAACACGCATAGACTGAAAGACGCCACTACGATCTTACCATATCTTCCAAATTCGATCCCAGCTGATTAATACGAGATTCTATTTCGTGTTCCTCATTCGAATATCGAGTCTCATCGTCGTACCTCCGAAAGAGCTCGCTTTCGAGATTGAATTTCACTTTCTCATATTTTTCTTGACTCTTGGTGACTTCATTAAGTCGTCTCATCAGAACCATTACAGCTTCGGAGTCGTTATTATTCATTGTTAAAGATGTAGGCTTGCTACTCCGATCTACAATTGGCTTTGGAATTGTCGACTCATTTATAGATGATTTGTTTGATGATTTTTTAGATTGCAAGGTCTTTTCATCCTGTTCAATAAGAACGATATCAACATCACTAGATTCGTTCTTCAAAGAATGTGAAGTTTTCTTCTGATTTTCTTGCAAATCAAATATATTTTCTATGTGCTTGAATTTGTTCGAGTCCGCGTAAGATTGAGCATGATCAGGGTAATTCGTGTGGGAATGTGTGTTGCTGATGATGTAGGAAGATCTAGTGTTATCCATCACCTGATTTTCTAGAGATGGTTTATCTCGCACCGTCTGCTTTATATCTGACAAATTGGGCTTCAGGTTTCTTGGAGGCATTGGCTTAATTTGCATTGATTTTAATGGATTATCTTCGTCGTCTGAATGCAACCAGTCTGGATACTCGACCTCTTCTAAAATCTCATCCATCGCGTCCTCATGCGTATTCGGCGATTTTATGTTAGGATTTGTGGTGAAGGCTGGATAACTGTTTAACCATTCAGAATAACCCCCATCCAAGATGGTTATCTTCTTATACGGCATTCCGGGGTCCCATTCTTTTAGAATCTTCTTGAATACAGTTAAACGATTGCTACTAGACAATGATTTCTGATTCGTATTCCAATCTAGTAGAACCACAGTGTCCACATATTGCGCTCCGCGACATTTGAATAGCTCTAAGGCGTGTTTATCTTTTCGTAAATATTTTTCGAAATGGCTTGCTAGCACGCTAAAAAGATTGTCATAAAAAGTTTCTTGCAATCAAGGTCCTTGCTTCAAAGAACCTAAATATAGACATATTTTCTAAAGGTTGCTTACCCCAGTTTTATTTGACTTGCAGGAATGTTTATGATTCTATTGGAATTTATCTGCGAGGATTGAAAATCTTCTGCCCCTCTAATATCGATAAGTAAAATTCTATTTTCCAATTTCTGCATTAGTTGATAAAGTTGGACACAAGTAATGGTCTCATCAGAATCGCCTGTTAGTGGATCTTCTGTGGGAGTTTCAGGGAAACTCAGGATTAAGTCTTTACCAAGTGCATTAATATCTTTTTCACTCAAAGGTTCTATATCTAGTTGCATATCGCTAATCGTATCACTTATTGCAGATGCTTTTATGTTATTTTCAATGTTATAACATTTTTGAAGACTTTGACCAAGGTCATCGATTGTCTTTTTCACCTCATTCACCTATATACAAAAGTCATTATAATTGTGTTACTATTTTATAGGATGAAACTCAGGATAGTGTACTTTCATAGACATGTTTTACCTGACTGTCTGGAAAACTGGTTGCGTAAATCACTTTATCATCTTTATACTCCTTAGTAGTTTTTAACCAATTGACACAATTAAGCCAGCGTTTAAAGAATATATATGCCTGTTCTTCATTTCCTGTTGCTCTATGTTTGTCTGCCAAGCTTCGTATGGTAGAGAGTCTCTTGTAGACATCCCATGGTCTTTTACCCTTATACGAGATTTTAGATTCATCATTCAGCTGGTTAAGCGAAGAGTACTGAGTACGATGTTTCTTTATGTTGTTAGACATCTTGAAGTTTCAAACAACAAACTTCCTATCCAAGATAATACAAGTTCTGAAAGTGTATTGTGCTATGAACAAATCACATAATGAAATTAATGACAGTATGCATTCTGCAAAGAATATAATTTGAACATTAAAAGTTAATACATACCGAAGCATTGAATTATAGACACAGTACAAATACAAATCTGCAACATATTGAAATTAGCATCAACTTGTATTAACAGTGCAGAGGTATAAAAATCCTTATAATTATACACGCGACTACTAGGGTAATCGAATTAGTAAATACGTTGCAAAAGCGAAAACTTAAATGTCTAGTAAATAAAGTTAGGTATCATAATGGCTTTTGCTTGGTTATCAATGAAATGTCGTGTACGCTAAGCACTATTGAACAATACTAAATCACAGCAATGGGTCTCAAAGAAGTGATGAAACTTATTAATCTTTGAAAGGTATCATCTTTACACAAATAGTATTCTTTGAGAAAACACTTCACCGTTTACGAAACTGACATCGATACGCCATATTCATTCGCCGCTTTAACTTAGGTTAGGTTCTGTCAGATTAGGTTGTGAGAAAGGTTTGATATTTTTATTTTCTGCGGTTGACGCCACCACGATCGAAGAACACGTGTCTTTCCCCTGTACACTTTTCAATTACTTGTTTTTCCTTACAATTGTGGATCAAGTATACAATATTTAATTAGTATAGACTAATTATTACATTATAAGGCAATCATTAAAGAAATCTTTGTTGAGGTTCCTATGGAGAAATTTTAGTGTCTTTCCATCAGTCTCGGTTAACCTAACGCATATTACTCAGGATGGTTTACTTTACCTGTAACAATTGTGGTGAGAGCCTAAAAAAACCTCAAGTTGCTAAGCATTATCAGTTTAAATGCCGAAATCCTGCTTCTCTTACATGTGTGGATTGTTTAAAAGATTTTTGGTAAGTACTAAGAAGTTCATGTAATAAAAATGAATCAGTTGTAATTTACAAAAGTTTGATTAAAGGGCTGACGAGTATGTGGCACATACAAAATGTATTACTGAGAATGAGAGATACGGTGGCAAAGACTATGTACCAAAACCTGGTACAAATAAGGGTGAGAAAAAGCAGCAAGATTGGATTAATATCGTGCAGAATTTGCTGACAACCTCTAACAACCTTTCTAAGGCTGAACGGGACATGTTGAACACGATGTCCAAATATGAAAATATTCCAAGGAAGAAAGCAAAGTTTTTAAATTTTATTAAGAATGTCTTTGGTAATAGAACCAATATGGCTGTGGTTGAAAGTATATGGGCAAAAATGGAAGAAGCTTTCAAGGAAGCAGTAGGAAGTACTAAGAATGGTCAGAAAGAAAATAATGAAGGAAAATCAGACAAGGCACATACTGTAGATCCAGGAGAGAACAATGTTGCAGAGAATCAAAATAATGAAAATCTCTCAAGGGAAAATGGAGATTCGACTCAAGAGGAAAAGAAGAAGAAGAAGAAACGTAAAAATGAACCAGAATACAATAATAGTACAGAAGTTACAAGCATTCAAGAAGACAAGACAAAGACAAACTCGAAGAAAAGAAAGTTATCAGAATCAGAGAATAACGAAGAAGATAATTTTACTGCAAAGAGAAAAAATGGAGATTCTAACAAAAAACTTGATTCTTCAATATTGATTGAACAGAATGGCGTTAGTGATAATATTAAATTCAATTGGAAGGGTACTATTTTGGAGATAGTATCCACCAAAGGAGAAATATCTCTTAAAAAACTTAAGAAGAAAGTCGTCGGACTATACATAGCCCAAAGTTCAGACACCGTAACGACTGAAAAAGCGGAATTGAAATTCAACAAGAAACTAAACAAACTATCACAAGTGGTAGTGTCAGAAGAGAAAGTGAGATTAGCACAATTGTAAAGCCGTAATAATGTATCTACACAAAATAAAGTAACAATTTCCTAATGATTGTCCATCAATCTTTCATTACTACCTCATAGATGGCGCTAGGTTCAAAATTTAAAAAAAAAAGAATCGTAAAAACGCCATCTTGTTCCAATAAACGTGTCTCATTATCGACAGAAAAGAAACGTCAAAATCATACTATATCAAAATAAAAATGAAAGAATTCCATTCACCATACAATCAATCTATCGTAAAGTTCAAAATGTTTAATTGTTAGTTGAATCTCGCGGTACTTCGACGTGACAAGATGGTCGCAGCTGGTCGTGTCTCTTGTGAGTCCTAGTCCCCTCACGTCTTCAGCTGGCAGTGACTGGTAGCCCCTCAGCCAGAAAGATCAACATTTAATCTCCTGTACGGAAGATCGAGCTTCTATCTATAATCGAGAACAGTTTTCTGCATAAAGTGTTCATCAAAACATCAAGACTAGTAGATAAGTGCCACTCCTACTCGGATACTCGCGCAAGTAAGTACATATATGTCCATAATAGAGGACACGTGTTTATTTCGCTCTCTACTTCCTTACAATTTCAAACAGTGTTTTTCCAGTGTTCCAAATATTCCATATTCCATAGTTTCTTCGTATTACGTTGGTTCCTTATGGTCCGACCTAAATATCCAAGCGGGAGGACTAATTTTTCCTTCATCCTCCTTGACTGCATTACTGCTCCACCGTCTGCATTCAGGATCGTCGTGTGCAGTATGGCGTGTCTGTAATTGCAGTCTCGTGTGGGGTCTGCTATTTCGGTTCCTCATACAATTCTTAATCGCGCGTGCACGTTTCTCCTTGGATGTTTGCGCAGCGCAAGCAGTTGCGCGCCGTGACTTGAGACATGAGACGAAAGATGTTCTTGGAAATTCTATAATCATGATGAAGTCTTTGCTGCACTCTGAACTCTGCTTGCTGCATGTTGCGAATGCACTTCACTGCCTCTCCATACATATACATCCATCTTGTATTTACTCTGAGCCAGTTGGAGTATATGGAAGCGCATTCTATATGCCTACATGTTCCTGAGATATTGGCTCATTCAAGAGAAACCGTTAATATTCATGCTTCTTTTATAAGACGCGTTAGGTGACTCATCCGCTTGTTGCTGCGTTCCTATTATTTTGTGCGGGGAATCACGTTAGTTTCTATATCTTCCGTGAATGTGAATTTATGAGATTGTGATTATATATAGTAATTTATCTAATAAATCTTAATTTTTCTTTTTGTATGCAGGTTACGACCTTCAACAGCTAGAAGCAGAAAACTCGTAATTTAAAGAAGGACATAAGTGATATAATCGAATGAGAAAGAGACGTAATTCTCTCCACATACAGTTCAAAGATTTATAATGAGTATCTACGTAGCAGTATGAAGTTTTAATTCGTCCATATAAAATAATTCATCCGTCCATTCTGCGACACGTCACACTTCGTAGTTCGTTACGCAGGTAACAGGACCCTCGAGATTCGGTAACCACACGTAGTGAAACCTGAGCTACGAGATGGAGAGTTCATCGAGTACAGAAGGCTCTATACTGTTTCGTGAGATTCACATGAATGGCTGGCTGAGACGCGCTGAGAAAAGCGACAAAGAAGTCAATAGGTTCTGGGTTGTTTTCTGCGTGCACGACGACAGCGAACCGCGTCTCGAGGGTTTCCCAGATCAAAAGGACGTAGCAGCGCACTCGCCTACGTGGACCATGTCCTTGAGAAACGCATTACATTTATCTCCAACACTATGCGCCACCCAGAGACACGATTTTGAGTTTTGTGTCAACTTCAATGATGACCGGGTCCTCAGATTGGCAGCTCCGACTTATCAGTTGATGTACGACTGGGTGCGGGTTGTAACGCGTAAGCTTACGGATATGAAAATTCTGAAACCTAAGGAGAATGTCTATTCCAAGGGACCTGAACGTCTCGCGACGAGGGACCCGACTAGCCCATTGCCTCCACCGCCGGCACCTACACCTGGGTACTTTGATATGCGGAATGAGAAAAAAGCTAATTTTAGTGAAAAGATTGTTTAATGAATTTCTTTTTTCAGGTCGTCGAATATGCCGAGAAGTACAGGGGCTGCAAGGTTCGAGGTAGCTAATGTAGCTAGTACATCAAGTGCAATTCGTGAAGTCAGGGCAGATACAACACCCTCTGTGTTCACCTTTGATCTTGTAGCTGTGGAGGAACGTCGACCTAGACCTCAACTTCCTCAGAGAACTCCGCCGATTCCGTCCCCGAGAGTCATTCCAAATCCTAGTACAGATGAGGAAAATTCGAGTTACGAAAGTCTCTTTCTGGCGACCTCATACTCACCTACGGGAGGTGTAACGAGGGTCCTCAGGGAACCAGGTTCCTCGGAAAGTTCTGACGATCACTATACAGCCCTGATTGAGTACAGAAGCTCCCCGGCGATCACGGACAACCCGAGAAACCATCAGACTCAAGCTCCAGGCCTATCTCACGTGGAGAATTCAAATGCGAACATGCGGCTGACGCTTAGGCAACAGCAATTTCTGGAACTCGGTCGAGAAATGAATCATCCCAGTGGAGTACGGCTACTCTTAGGTCGACGTTACTGCAAAGACAATATCGCCTTCGTCGACATCTTCGGTGCTGTCTAGTAAGAAAGCGTCCCAACATCTAAACGAAGATTCTTTCCTCTCTATATTTGACTATACTAATCTAATAAACATGGGTGTTGCCATTATTGAAAAACATTCAGCATCGCCGGTTGGAAGCGCGGAGACTTTGGATTCTCGTACAACGTCCTGCACGTGGGGGACAGGGTTGTCAGTGTGGCTGGAGTCTCTGTTCCACGAGTAGCAGTAATTCGTAACATCCTCAAAAGTCGAACGACACCATACGTGAGTACTTCAAAGATCGTTAACGCTAGAGAGAGCTCATATCAGAAATCGCGTGTCATCAGAATGGCAAAAGATGGCTAAATATGTGTTCAGGTGAAGCTGGGAATCCGAAGGCTGCCTCATGGACGTGCATTGCTTCTAAACAGACGATCAGACGATGAGAGTTTTGGCTTGGAGGTCAATGGCAACGAGGTCATTGGAATGAGCGAAGCGGTACAACGTCGAGACGTTACTCTGCGAACTCCAGCAGCCGATCCAGAGGCTCGTCCAGGTACAACGGTTAGCTGGACCTTAACTGAGGTCAATGGACGGCCCCTGAATCTTTTTGAATGCACAGCAGGCGATCGTCTCTCTGCAGTAGGTCGTGACATCTCTATTGTGATGCAGCCAAGCGATCTAGTTACGGGTTTACGGAAGAAGCTACGTGCGATTCGTAATTATAAGCAATTCGTTGTGCAGTGAGAGGTCGGAAAATAAGAAGAATAAGATGGATCTGAAAAGAAGTTGAAGGTTTCGAGATAAAAAGAACGAGGAAGTCGTGCAGTTTATTTGACGTAGCTTGAGGATAGAACCTGGAGACTGAGGCCAACATTGGGAGCAATAACACGTTTCTAGTTTGTCCCGTGGAACGAGTCTGACCTATTTTGGTATCTAAATAAACTAGGAGTCAGGATATCGCTGCAACGATTACGTGACTGAATAGTTCAGCGCCTGGCGAACGCACAAAAGCGACAGCTGTAAGGGACAGCTGTTAGATCCTCTAGAGCAAAGTGTACTCTGTGATAACATATAGATATATGTGTGCGAATATACAAATATATATATATGCCTGTATGATTGAAAGGTAGTACGAGAACGAGACTCGCGTTCTGCGTATTACGTACGAGGTAAATGCGTGCAATATGTAGTATATTTATGCATAAACGGACATTGTTTTTGGTAAATAAAAGGACCAATCAATAACTTATAAATTCGAAAAATCACTTTAGAAACAAAAATTATTTTCTTTTACATTTATAAGGCTATATAATGTATCTAGTAAAGATATTTACAATACGAAGATGACGTAGCAGCCCCTTACGGCGTAAGCCTTACACTGAGGCTTCTACGTTACAGCGACAACTCGAACTATACCTAAGTATAAATACGTAAATAGCGTCACCCTGTATTTACAAATATATAGCACGTACTGAGTTTATCTATTTTAATGAAGAAAGAATGAGATACACTTCAGCATCACCACCGAAGACTACGCGTAGCCGAGTGATAGGTAGGACTGCGCGGCGAGTAGAATTGTGAATACCAGCGTCTGTATGCCAGGATGGTGCGGTCCTCTCTGACGAGGAGTGGTCGTCTCTCGAATTTCTTGTGATTCCAAACTGCCACGTCCCTCTCGAACATGATACTCTCTCCGAGGAAAACGAGACTGGCGTAGGGTGCCAAGAGGACTGGTGCAAACATCAGGTGCGTCACGCGCTGTAGCAGCGGCTCCACAGGGGTGACGGTTTGCAGGATGCACATGGGACCAAGGGCGGTGTCTACTAACAGTTCAACGTAGCCTGGGCCGATTTGTTCCGCCTTGACGTTCAGCTGAATGATGGAAATTTTCTCCAGGAGAACTAAACTATGACGAAGACGCATCGTTGCTCTGTGCTTGTCGTTTTTCTCGATGTATTTCTTAGGCTCGTTTCCGGTACCATTTTGGCTCAGGGTCGAGGTCTCATTTGATTGGGTTGTTTTCACGGCTGTTTCCGGTGCAGAGGTTTCTCTCGGTGCCCAGGCTGCAGCTGTCCAGGAATGCCTGGCTAGCCATGGCAAAGTTTCACTGAAAAACATTGCGGGTCCGTGTACAGCACTGAGATGAGCCCAGTCCGCACCGTTTTCCGGTATTTCCTGTAATGGGATTATATGGTAAATCCATTAGCTATGAATATATCACTGGAATAAATTGTCACGAGACATCACTGGTGAACCTACCTGTATATGGCTATTTACCAGAAACTCGTTGCGACCCTGGTAGCGCCAATTACCATTTGAAATTTCCTCGAGAGGCTCCGGTCGCCATTCTGGTTCCGCTGATTCTGCATGATACCAGACGAAGATCAATTGGTTCACCTCGCAACTGTCCCAGGCTCTTGTTTTTGCTATCTCCGGTACTGAATATAGAATAGTCTCTTTTTAAAATACTCATTACAGATCATTTTTATATTGATTTAATGGACACTTACCTTTTTCGGCATAGGGTATACTCTGACATCGACCATCTTCTCCACGGAACAGCCAACCATGAAAAGGACACTCGAGACAATCACCTCGGACCTTACCACCTTCCCCCATGTTGGCCCCCAGGTGGGGACAATACGCGTCCAGGATACTAACGACTCCTTTCTCGCTCCTGCGAAATCCACGTGCGTCATAAATATTGGTAAGCAATGAAATAGGTGAAAAGAAAACAGAATCAGTCAAACGTACGACTCCTGCGAGTATACCTGAAGACGGCGAAATTCTCTCCCAGAGCAGCTACATGCCTGACTTGTCCACGTTTCAGCTGAGAACTTTCCATCAGGCCGAACCAGCCGTTCGGGTAAACCGGAGGCAGTTTGCCGATCTTACGATTTTTGGGTACAACGTAAGCTCCCAACTTATTCGAGCCCGCGCGTCCCCTCAGGTCCTTCGTTGTCGAGTAAAGGAAGTCGTATTATTTATTCCAAAGGAAACACAAGCTGCTCAGCCCACCAATCGGATACTCACTCTGACCCAGTTGATCCTCCAGAAGAACGCGAAGTAAATTACAATGGCCAAGAGCCCAGTGGCGGCTACCGTCCACCATCCGGTCATCTTACAGCGTCGTCCTCGTCACGTCGTACCGCGGCGAGTGTCGACTCGAAATATCTGTGAGAGGAGCAGTTGGTCCAGTGAGGAGAGAATAAATCGGAGGATCGTAAGGGAGGGCGGGGAGTGGCAGGAGGAACGAAACGGGTATAGAGGGGTCGAACGAAATGACGATAAACGATCGCGGAAAAGACGCGTCGATGTAGAGAAAATAATGTAAAACAGGTTAAGGATACGTGTCAACACAGATCGGATCAAGCGTGACACTGTAATCCAAGTTCAGGATCGATCCTTAAGGGTTTTCGGTGGCGAACTGAAAGCCGCGCTGATCCTCCTCCTCTTTATATACGTAGAGAAGGAGTACGTCGTGGCCGTCCGTCTACACCTAACCAAATGTATTTTATTCTCCTTTATTCCTCTGATCGACGTAATGGGAGGCAGGATTATGCATGCCCCGAACACAAATACATACATCGGTGCTCCGTGCCCGTCCTCTTATCGATCCGATCCATCGATCCGCTATCCGTCCGTTCGCTTAGCATATTATAGGTAGACCGCGTCGATTTCCATTTACATTCCAAATTTCCATGTCTCTCTCTCTCTCTCTCTCCCTCTCGTTTCACGTGTTTACATTGACTCCCTCCCCACCCCGCACCCATGCCTCATAGACGCAGGTTCATCGCAAGAGTTATGCTTCCTGTAGGATCCTCAAGATGCCTACGATTCGTACTATCCCTTGCACCGTCGTCGCCCAGAACAGCCCAAGGCTGATCTTGCTCTAGTCCTTCGGCTATCGGTGATACGGTACCGGGGGAGCGAAATGGGTCGCGATTGAATAGCAAGAGGACGATGATAAGACGAGGCTCTTTGGATGACGTTGCGCTGACGTAAAACGCAAGCGCCGTGGTTTGAGGTTGAATCTCGGGTACCGACGTGGTTGCATGAATAAGCGAGCTCGCAAAAGTGTCAACGTCCTCGGGGACAGCTCCTTTGGCTTTTCCTCCGTACTCCCTGTACCTATCAACATTCTTTCTCTTCCTTCATCTTTCCCTTTCTCGCTCACTCTCACTCTCTCCTCTTGCTCCCTCTTGCTCCCTCTTGCTCCCTCTCACGAGGCACTATCGGCTACTTTGAGGATAATCGGTGTGTATGCGCGCGTCTTGTTGTTGCATCCGCATGAAAATGGTCGTTGTTTCGAACAGGTTTGAAGGTGCGCCGTAAAAGGGGCCGGAGAGTGTCGCGAAAGAACGACGCACGGCGTCGTCGTGGGCTCGGTTAGCGGACGCACGCAACATTGCAATGCCACTAACGATCTTCTCTCTTTCACGTAAAGTGCCCCTGGATCCTATGGCGAAATACATTGGAATTCACGGCGCGAGCCTCACTTTACTGGATCATTAGAATCCTTGAACGTGTAGGGTACACAGGTAAGGTTATGTAGCTATGTGCGCGCACGTAGAGAGTAGGTACGTCTGGTAAACGAAGGAAGAAATATAAATATAATAAAGAAACGAAAGGAGGTCCAGCATCCATCCATGCAAGGGCCAAGGTCCGGGCAGGTCCAATGAGTTTTTGGTAGGGCAGCTGCAGCCGCCACTCTCGGCCTCCCTAATTTATTCCTCTCCTCTTCTCCTGGTGCACTCGCGTTCATCTTATTTCTCTGGCAGCCCTTCTGGACCGAGTCCTCCTCCTCTTTCCAATGCGCAGAGCGCGAGAGTGCTCGCGTGCTGGGTCCACGAGCCAAGGTAGCCACGAGATCAGCAGTCTCTATGGAGGATCCAAAATCTTCGTGATACTGGGAGCCTGGACCACTGAAATCAAAGAGGCGTCTTCGACTGGTCTAACGGTCCATTGCGGATCTAACGAAGGAGCCTGTGATCAACTAGGTAGGGATATTGTCTAGACTCCTTCGGAGGAGTATTTGCGATCGATCAGCTGATCGATTTTGACGCGATTTACGGCACGCAGTCACCCCGTCGGGGGCCGGTTGAGAAACTGGAAGACCCTGAACTTGACTGACTCTTCCTTATAGGTGTACCACCTTATACCGTGCGTGCACTATAACGTACGGTCTACCGTATACATACATACACACGTGGCACCGGTAGCTGCTATTCGGATCGAATCGATATTATCACGTCGTCCAAAAACCTTCGTCAAATTCCCTCTCGTTTTTCTTTTTCACCCTCTATCCCCTCTTTTGATTCATTACGCAATATCCCCTTCCTAGTCGGCCATAACCTACTGGTCTCACAGGAAATAGACACACATGGCAACCCACCAAGTGGATCCTCTTCCTCGAGATCATCATCGGCCTGGACGACCGATGCTCTATACTATCGGACCCGATCTTGTTTGGCAACCGAAGAGGAAAGTGTCCTCACGGGAGGCAGGGTAGCCGCGCGACAGCTAATGGGCACCTTGGTGCACGTGGGACGTCCTCAAGCCCAGAAGCCCAAGAAGCCTGAAGCCAGAGAGGCAAAAAGGTACCTGCTGCCTGTCGCTCATCTCATCCTCCCGTGAGACGTTAATCAGCAGTAGCCAGCCAACCGGCGACAGGCAAACTACAGGACTCGCGCAAATTAGCATTCTTCGTTTATCCTTCACCCCACCCTGGCTATGAGGCCATCGAAATTCGTCAGGTCCTTCTGGAGGGGGACTGGCGATCCCTAACCTTACATCTCGAGCCCTTCCGTTCATCTTGTATCCCCTTTTTTCTCTCTTACCTTCAGAAGCTTCTTTCTTCCTTTTCTTACGGCAGCGCTTCACTCTCTACGACAGATCCTTTTTCTCCGAATTCCCTTCGAAAGATCAATTGTCCACGCTCAGGATCTCAACGCCGATCGTGCGACCTGGCGCCAGTAGAGCAATCCTTGAAAAAAAAAAAAGTCGAAATTCTTCATGACCCTTAAAATTCTTGTCTCGTGGATGAAGAACCTCGTGTTACCGAAGAATTTCTATAGCACGACAGTATGCGGCACATCGTACAGTAGAGATGCAGGCATTGATATACCGAGCATCGAGTCTACGCGATGTCCTTCTTGTATTTCTTATCCCGTGAACGTGCCCTGAGAAGATGGATCTTTTGATAGAACCGATTAATTAGCAAGAGAAATTTTAAAAAACATTCCGATAAGGTGGATCGATGTTGATTTTTGTACTGGTAGCTCGAGCATAGTCGGGAACTATGTTTTCGAAACGTGAGCTCTTTTATTCCGAACAAATGTGCCTGACTAACGAAATACTGCAGTACGTGCAAGGAAGTGGTTCAAGGCGATGCTAGTGTCACGTTCCGATTTCGATGGAGACGTCGTTAGGTGCGTATACGAAGGCAAGCTCCTCATGCACGCATAGCTCGACAAGTTTGTCGAAGAAGAATAAGAAAAATAATTGATGATATAAATTAGAAAAAATATATATAAAACATAGGATAAGCGTTAATTCTTATATACATAGGAATTGGATATACATATCCAGTTGAAAATATTAAATGAAACATAAAAATGCATTACCCCAAACAAAAATTTGATTTACAAATGTTGCGAAGAGGCCGAATTTGGTGTAGATATAAATAATACAAATATAGGAAGATAGGGCTAGGCAATAAGTAAAAGAATATGTCAGATTAGTATAGAATCCGTATGGCAGTGAATTAATGGTAGAAATAAAGAAAACAGTCCCACTCACCATTTGACTGATACAAAGTTCGCGACGAGAGTGCCGAAAGAACGTCAGAGTACTGGATCGGGTCCTTAGTTTTGCTGACATGAAATTTCTGCGAAATATTATGTTAGTCCGCGCTCCTCGTGTGTCAGAGCGCGCTGCACGTGCACCGACCACTCAAAGATCGGAGACTACCTTACGCTTAGGATCGATCGAAGGGAGCGATCGATGGTTGAGTGTGGGTAGTAGTAGTGGGGTGGTGCTGACCAGTCTGCGACGAAGAGGGGTGGCGGGAGGAGGAGGAGAAGGATGCCTGATGTAGTTAATTATTGTTTTGCTCGAACTTTTCAGGTTAGCCAAGCGCACGCGTTCTGAGTTCTATCTATTTCGAGTCTAATAGAATTTGTCTGCTGGGAATTTAAGTCTCACCTGTGCAGGGGCATCCTCTGCCGGCTGTTACGTAGAATTACATCGGCGCTGCGGAGTCGGGTTAGTGTAGTCGGTTCAGGAATTTAGTGAGTAGCAATAGTTCCTGAATGGCGAGACTCGAGGGGACGTGGATTAATTGGGAGTGGAGGAGAGTTTTGAAAGAACAAGTTTTCAGGCTGAGATGTTTTCTGAGTGAAGGGATGTTTGCAGAGCTGTATGCATCGCATTTTTTCGGTTTTTAATTTGAATTTTTTTGTTTTCTAGATTTAAGAATTATGGACACGGTATAATTATGGATAGGAAGATGGATTCAGTTTTGAATTATTTATTGTGCTTCCTCGTCACAGTTCTCAGGAAGAAATTGGTTTTCCCAGTGGTGAAGATGCTGCCTGATGACACGACGATCGTTGCGGTGGCTGGAATGATCGGACGTGTAGCCATGGTCCGATTCATCCGAGACCCCTCCCTCCTGTTCAACGGCATTTCTAAAGGCTCAACCAAGGGGGTCACATCTTCCAAATCAGGGAAATCGAAATTGACGATATTTCGTTCCACCGTAAAATCCCATATAGGAATGCCATCTCCAATGTTGACATTAACTCCTGCACTAGCAACAACGATTAGCTTTAAAAGTTTCACTAGCTGGTGAAACACCTGAAGAAGAAAAGGGGAAAGGAATAAACGAGGGTTGCGGTAACAGTGTCCACAAACGGCAAAAAGCAGTCCTTAATGGCGAAACAGGCAACCGCGCGCTTGCGAGGTCTATGCGTACCGAGACCCCTGCCTTCTGCATCTAGTGCATCGCTACCTGTTCCGGCACAATTGCTGACGTTGCAGACGGTCCAACTTGAGCAATCAGAAGAATGAAGATTGAAATGAAAAATTTGTAACCTCAATACGTTTCGTTCTCTTAAAACTCTCCCCCGCATCTACCTGCGTAATCTTGCTTAAATAGATCGACGACAATGAAGGTTTTAGAAAGTCACACGTGGCTCCGTATACAATTTTCGTTATACCGTGTGCATGCGCATGGTTTGGCATTGACATATATCATTTTTCTACATGAGTATGTATTTCCTTGATTTTATAGAAAGCCGTTTGTGATTTCGCTAAGGACTGCATTTTTTAACAGATTGGCAAAATGTAACATACTGAACTCGTAGATCGACTACGGGAAACCAAAAAGACTTGTACGATATCGTTATTGTATTTTCCTGGAAAGACCGTTAATCTATTTCCCTCTTGAGTTACCGTCGAAATTGATTATCTATTGTGGAAGATTATCCACCGATTTAGGGCTATGCGTTCTCCAAGTAGTCGAAGACAATGCCCGTGTGCCTTCCTTGGGGTAGAGAGAGAGAGAGAGAGAGAGAGAGAGAGAGAGACCGAAGCGTCAACCCAATGAGCAACGAAGGTGGATTGAAAGGATGTCGGGGGTTGGATATGCGGAGAGGGGTAGCTGGGCTGGGGAGGTAGGGGAAGATCAGGGGGCCGGCCGAAGCCGGGCCGCGTTGGGCCGGAGTCCGGCAGAGCAGCGGCCTTAATAAGGAACAGCAGAACACGCTTGAGCGAACGGGAGGACCTGCCGCAGGCTCACGACTATAAGAGCCCCGGCCTCGCGAAAGAGACGTCCATTCAGTAGCAAGGCACTTACCACTTGCCCGTCTAGCCTCTTTATCGCCAGATACTCGCATCTCCGGGAGACGCGAATACATTTGTTTCTACATACTGCCGTCTCCCTTTACTCGTAAACTCGTGAGCTCATCCAATTGGTTCCAACACACGTCAGTGATCTTGTGCGTCCTAGTACTTTGACAGAGTGCCGTGCCGAGTCCCCTTGGCCTCTACGATTTAAGGAGTCCTAGGAACCTTAGTCTTCGGATATTCCCTTTTCCACCGTTCCTTATATATGTATCTGCAATTCCCACTCGAGTACTTCCTCTCCTTGGAGGATCTTCTTCAGGATCGTTCCTTCCTCGTTGGTTAATCATAGATTTATCCTTACGACTGATGCACCAGGTCCTGTCCCGATTGTCTCGGTCCACCTAGAGCTTCTGGAGTACCGTGAGAACGCGTAAGGATCATATTGCATCCGAGTGCGGCGTGAGGTGAGAGTCGAAGGAAAGTGCTCGAGATTAATATCCTTCAGGAATCTCTAACGGTACTGCGTGCAAAGTGCTTTCGGATGCTGGATCGGGAGAGTGTCGTCGATCGGCTTGTCTAAATTCCATAAATTTTGTACCTGTTCATCCCGGCGATGGATGTTGGAGCATTTTGGATCCTCTTCACCTGTGCCACCATCCTGGCCATGATCGCCAGAAATCGTTTACGGTCTGGACCCACGGAAGAGGAGGGTGACACGGTAGCCTGGGAGAAGGGCAAGCTCCGCAAGGAGAAGGATCAAGCGGATGACATCAAGAAGGATAAGCGAGCTGGAAGAATGAAGAAGCTTCTGAATGGTCCTAGGGCACTGCCCCTGTTTGGGAGTCTCCATCTCCTGGCGAGCCCAGGTGGACCCTTCGAAGCGTTCACCAGGTTGGCACGGAAGTACGGAGACATCTATGAGATTCGTCTAGGAGTAGCTACCTGCGTGGTGGTCAGCAGCTACAGTCTCGTCAAGGAAGTTCTCATCACGAAGGGTAGTCACTTTGGGGGTCGTCCTGATTTTCTACGTTTCCACCAGCTCTTCGGGGGTGATCGAAATAACTGTAAGCCATCCAATCAGTCCTAATTAAAAAGTACAGATACCGATTAATTATTAATTATCCTAGTCGACATCCTGATCTGACATCCTGGCCGTATTCCACCCAGGTCTGCGGTTATTTATAGACACCGCGAATCTTATTGCCAATGGAGTATCCGATACCTGTAGATGACTAAGCGACTTTCACCTCCTATCTATCCCGTTAGACCATTCGAGAATCATCCCCGTGAGAAAGTATCCTCTTTTAATTGGACACCTCGTATACTCGTATTACGGAAGCTCTCCTACGAGCAGCAGACAACATGTTTGCCAAGCGTAATGATACGTGCTGGTCTCAAGGCTCCAGACTCCTCACTTTGTACGGAAAGATGATCCTCTTCCTGACGACCTGACGCGATAACATCTAACAGTAAGTACCGGTGGGCGCAGTGGCACGCTTTTCGCGGATGGCGCCTTTCGATTACGAGAATTCACAGTCGTCGTCCTGATCAATGACTATCTGAATAGGGACAGCCGTGTCGCTTAGTGACGACTCTTTCAGAAAGACCTTGTTCCTGAAAAAGACGCCTAAAGACATTGTTTACGATAGGATTCGTTAATGTAACGTAGAATTTGTTAGATCAGGGGTTAATCGGTTTTGAGAATCATGTGACGCAATATCCCGATAATTTTTATATATACAACATTTTTCATGTTGTCTTATATCAACAGATTATTATTACAAGATTATCAGAAATATTCCTTATTCAGATATACATATTATTATGATCCACTTTTCCTATCGTATTCTTTGATCGTTATATCGCGCCGTATAGATGGTGCTCCAGTCTCATAGTAAAGATAGTGACATAGCCAATGCCAGGGTGTAAACTCAGGCTGTAGGGAAGCGAATACGAAGAAGCGATTAAACGACTTGACATTGGCTCTGGTTTAATTGACAAAAGGAAATAAGATGACGGAGAGCGAGGATGGGGCTGAGATAGGAGATAGGAGATAACAGGGTGGAGCCTCCAGGATGCAAAGGATGTGGAGTGGCAGCGACTGGTTGCCGGTAACTCGTAATACCGGAGCAGGAAGCGCATCGGGGCGAGTAGTCACTTGACAGTCGAATTAACCGCTTCTCGGAACGGGCAGCGCATCTGCTCTCCCTCCATTGCGTCAAACTCAATCAGGATCGGCGCCGCGATCGCGCACAAAGAAATTCGTGTTTTCAGTTCGTTGGCAGAAAAATATTTGAATCTTGGAAGGATGCACTAAAATGTAAAGAGACGCTGGTGTATCTTCTTTTCAAATGATTATAAGATAACGGGTATCAGGATAAATATAAGAATGATAAAAAATAATTTTGTATCTTCACCATCTTTGCAGCTCTCGCGCTTTGCGATTGGTCCGATCTGCAGATGAAGAGACGATCATTGGCCAGGAGTTTCTGTTCGCCACGAAGAGGAAGTCCTCAGCAGGAGGAACTGTCGAGGGTGGCTACCTTGGAGGCATCGCAATTCATGTCGGCGCTGACGAACGAGGAATCTCAGGACGTTCTGCGCGGCGAACGTTCCTTGAAGCCACTTCTTCTGGGAGCCGTGGCGAACATGTTCACCAGGTACATGTGCTCGACGCGGTTCAGTTACGCCGATCAGGAATTCTGCAAGATCGTCAGGACCTTCGATGAAATCTTCTGGGACATCAATCAAGGCTACGCTGTGGACTTTTTACCCTGGCTCAGACCGTTCTATGCCGGTCATATGAAGAGGTTGAATAATTGGGCTACGGGGATAAGAACCTTCATCCTGAAGAGGATCATCGATCGGCATCGCGCCAGTCTCGACTCCGTGAACGGGGTCCCTAGGGATTTCACTGATGCCTTGCTTCTTCATTTAGAGAGTCCCGGGTCCGGTTTATCCTGGGAACACATTATATTTGAGCTGGAGGATTTTCTAGGAGGTCATTCTGCGATTGGGAACCTGGTGATGCTCATACTAGCCAATTCAGTGGTGCATTCTGAGGTCCAGAGTAAGATCCAGGCAGAGTGTGATACCGTCCTATCCCAACCTGGTCGATCACGAGCCCTGGTTACTCTAGAAGACAGAGCCGACATGCCCTACACCGAGTCCGTCATCTGGGAAACTCTGCGTATATCCAGCTCACCGATAGTTCCTCACGTAGCGACCCAGGACACTGAAATCGGCGGCTACAACGTGGCAAAAGATACAGTCGTTTTCGTTAACAATTACGAACTGAATCTAGGGGAGTCTTACTGGGGTCCTGGATCCCGTGAGTTTCGTCCTGAACGTTTCCTTAAGTACTCCGTCCCAGAGGCCGCTGGAGACTCCGGCGAGAAGCCCAAGGTCAGGAGGCCTGAACACTTCGTCCCATTTTCAACTGGCAAAAGGACCTGTATTGGTCAGCGACTGGTCCAGGGTTTTACATTCGTCCTGGTAACGGCTCTCTTTTCACGCTTCGACATCTCTCAGGCCTCCGAGGATCTGGCTTCTCGTCTGTTACCAGGATGCGTCGCGGTACCTCCGGATCCTTTCCACCTGGTGCTCGTTCCTAGAGCAGGCAAATCCGATGACTGAAAATATGCATGAGCTAACGTTAAAGAGTATACGTGAGATTCACCGAACAGTGAACAATCGTATAGCCTATCCGTATTATTTGCTGTACTCTAGATTATAGATAATTTTGGGAAAATCCATAAGACAGAGCGAGGGAGGGAGAGAGTATGAGTGTTTAGACAATATAAGAACGAGGCTAAGAGCACTAGGAAGACTGATTAACATTGACACGGAATCGAATTCTGAATCGGAAATAGTGAGATGCGTAGAATCTGACGGGTTAAATTATGCAATTTTAGCATTTCCTAAATTACATATGCTACTCCTATATACCGATATCGATAGATCTCCTTAAGTTTCCAGATCTAAAAAGTATAATAATGAAATCTATATCATACGTAAATACGTGCTTGTACATGTCACACGCATTATCATACCCACATTATCATCCACTAATCACTATATCAGGAGACCATGAAGTCGGTAAATATTTCCGATTTATATTCTCCTGCGCTTACACTGTATTCCTCAGACTTTGTAAATAGGTACACGCGTGACATATATTTCTATTAATAAAACAAAAACACAATTAATGGGAAATCGTTTTACGAGTTTCTATCTTTGATTATATATTTTTTACAGCTCGCGATCAACGGGCTCAAAATTCACGGAACAAAGAACCAACACGGAACAGAATCTTTTATCTTATCTTCGAAGATATCTGACTGTGGAGGTTGTTGTCATTCATCGCTCTATACCCGGAGGCTCTCCGTGAGTTCTTGGCTCTCGCTAGGTTGGACAGGATCGAAGAAGGGCTCGTAGACGAAGAGAAGACGATCACCTTGACTCGCAGGTTTAGCTACACGGCAGCAGAAGTCGTCCGACATTGCTACAGTCCTTCTTTTGTCGCGTCTCGTCTCTCCGGAGGTTTTTACACGCGGGACCCTTTGTCGTTTATCTCACCTTCCCGTGCGCACCTACCTTCCTTCCTTGCTGCCCTTGAATTTAAAGCGCCTTCTATGCGATTTCATTTTATTACCACTTTTATCGTAATCCTCTTCTTCTCGCTCTCTCGTTAGTCCGTAACTAATTCTATTCTCTCTCTCTCTCTCTCTCTCTCTCTCTCTCTCTCTCTCTCTCTCCCTGTTCTTTCTTACCTACCACCTCCTCCTCTTTCCGATCTGCCTGAATCAAGTTCAGCCTCCTTCTTGCGAGAGAATAGCAGACAGTAGTAGAGAAGCTCGCGAGCCCTGGCCCACTTCGACATTCCGTTTCCTGCATCCAACGTTCACTCTTCATCTCAGAACAAAACTGAACCCTAAACCGGGTGAAGTGGTTCCATACGGATTTTGAAGAGATCCTACTCTGTTGAGGTGGGACGAGGATTTAAATTCAAAAGATCAAGTAGCCATGTTCTGGTAACAATCTAACATTTCAAAGGTCTGAAAATGTTGAAAAGATTATACGTAGTTTGCATAAGCAGAATTGGTAGCTAAACTGTAGTAAGAACTATAGACGCGATTGTAAACCTGTCTTAAATTCTTACTAAGCCCAGGGAAAAAATCTGCTGTCTAATAGGAAACTTGCCTTAGATGCTGCAGCCACTTGAAAAGAGTCTTTCGTACCGTCATTTCCGAGAATTTAATAGATACGCTACTGGCTAGCGAATGCAGTCACATAGGTATATGCTGCAATCTCCCTAGAATCATATTCTTCATTTTTATTCATGTATTTTACGCAACACGCATTTACTTTGTGATTTTCGAAGCGTCATAACGATTGACTGCGATGGAGAAACGATAGTGCTAACGGTAATAGTTTGATTTCAATTTGCGTATTTTGTAATATCTATCTATCCTCAGACGGATAGTTGCTTATTGACTATACACTCTGGTACGATTTTTACTATTTAATGCGTCATTAGATAATTGCTTATCTACGTGCTCATTATTTAATTAATATAAAGCACATTCACTGATTTATTATTAACAATATATCCGAGACACCTGATATAAAGGTCGCCTACTGGTGGCGGTAAATTAAGCTAATGGGTGAGTCAGTGGCGACATCCATCGGGCGATCTGTGCAACTCATGAGCAAAGCAGCGAGTCATTTCATGGCGGGTGACTAGTTGAAAACTGCTGGCTGCTGGCAACACGCAGGCGTGCAGCTCGGGCTGCCTGCAGCGTGGTGCACGATATTTTATTTATTCTCTTTGGCCAAGCGCGCAAGCTGCCACCATTTTGAAAGGGTATACTCTATGCCGGGGTATACCTGGACGCCCGGTTTGGCTCGGCCATGGAAATCGATTCATCACAGCAAACCCAGAGGAACTTCTTTCAGGAATTTGATTAATCGTACGTTATTGTCAGAAATATATGTCTCACTGATTGTGAGTATAATTCGACCGATGACTTTTGCAGGTAGTGGCCTGTACTTGTCAAGTGAGATACACTACGAATTGTATCAGGAAGATTTTTTTTGGAAAAATTCAAAGTGACGAAGAATTTGTTATTACAACCATGATTATATCGACCACCTGGCGGCAACGTGGAAATGGAAGTTCAATCAGGAATTGGTGCCGGTATATATGCGGAGAGACGTTGTGACCTGTGACGGACGCACGTGTGTTTACATTTCAAGTAAGTCAAGGCATTTAGTGTGTTCCGATGATGTAACATCATAAAGCAGATCGAGTGTGTACTGAAATTGAAAAGAAGGAAGTAACGAAGTAGGAGAACGTACGACGAGAATAAATTCAATGACTCTGCGTTATCATAGCTTTATTACGATTAAGTCGAAGCAGCGCGACGAATGGTCGACAGAGCGGCGGTTCGCTCGTGGCTGTTATCGTGGTCAGCAACGTTATGCAACCGCGTATGTGCCTCGCGGGCGCGCGGGCCAGTAGCATCGCGATGTCGGTCGGTGGGTCAGCTCCGAACGAGGAACGAAGGGAGAGTCGGACTGGCACTGAGAGTCAGAGAGAAACAGAGGAAGTCGGAGTAGGGACGAAGTAAATATACAGTGACGTAGGAGGAAGTGGGAAGAGGAAGAAGAGAGCGAGAAAGATAGAGGTTAGGTCGAGTAGACGGAGTAGAAGGACGGAAGGAAGGAGGGAGCTACAGGGAGCGAAGGGTAGAGGAATATAAGAATATAAGAGAAGTGAGAATAAAAATGGCAGACAGGTAACGGTGAGGGGGCTGTAGGTTGAGGCCGGGACGGGGATCTATGGTACGTAGCAGCTAGAGTTAGAGTCGGAATCGGAGTCGGAGGTTTATGTGGGAGGTAGCGAGCAGGAGGTGGCTGCGGAGGTGGAAGTAGAGGATTGTGGTGGTGGTGGTGGCGGCGGCGGCGGCGGCGGCGCGATGCCGCGTTAGCGCGTGCGTGTCGGGGTACTGCCGTGTGCGACGCAACGACGCAGCGACGCAGCGGCCGAGGATCGCCGAGCGCTCGCTACGTGGACTCCGCGGCTGGTGGCTAGCAGTGTACCAAAAGTCGGCACCCTGCACGAACACACGACGTGTACGCTCCACGTCACGTCACGCTAAAAACAGGGCCTCCTCCCCGAAGCTCGCTCCCGTTAAATCGCTCGGCCGGCCGCGAACGCCTGCGAAGTTCCAAAGGCCACAAGAGAGGAGGACTAGGAGGCACCGACGTCGTATTATAATGCTGCCTGGGAGCGGCGAAGGAGCGGCGGCCGCGGCGACAACACGCTAGGTGCTACGATCACGGAAGAGGAGCACGTACCAACGGAGCGCGGCTGCTGCACCTCGCTGGATACGCTCCCCACGTATCGCCGACCAGGAGCTAGTGCTCCGTCTACGAGAGTCCGTGCGCGAGAGAGCTCCTCCTCCTCCTCCTCCGCCACCTCCTCCACGATAACTCTGTCTCCTCTTCTTCTGCATCTTCCACCTCCTTATCCTCCTCCTCCCCCTCATCCTCCACCCGCGACAGCACCTCCGTCATCGCAATCGTCACCGTCACCCTCGACACCACTGACCACCCTCCTCCTCATCCCGTCCCCCCTCGACCGCGAGGACAAACTTTTCGCGTGTGTTTCGTGATCGGGACGACCGCGACGACGTCGAGCGTCGCCCAGACGACGCGTATCCTCGTGAGTGCTTGTCCTCGTTGCGCGATTCCCTCCATACGGACGGTTCTCTCTTCTGGCTCGAACGCCCCGTGCTCCTCCTCCTGCTCCTCCTCCACCACCACCTTGTCCTCATCTTTCTCTGACTACCCTCGGTGAAATCGTCACAGGCGAGAAAACCGCAGTTCCCCGTCTCTGCTTCCTTCGGGATTCGCATTCCGTTGGATTCACGTCGCGAGTCTCTCGGACTCGAGCAGTGAAGGCTCCTTCGGGGCTGTGTGAATAACTTAAGAATTTTCGTGAAATATTGTATCGTCGTTTCGGTGCTTCGTGGGATCGTGTTCGTTCGGAAGATTTCGAAGCTGTGACTCGTAATTTTATCGGATATTTATCGTCGTTAGGATTAATAACGAAAAAAAAGAAAGAAAAAACGAAAACGGCAACAGTGTTCTCTCTTATCTGTCGAGGCACATCCGCGCTCTGCTCCTCGTCGAAGAATGCTCCAGGATCGTGCGGGACGCTTTAGTGGCCTGTCGAGAGTGGCGCTAGACTAGACTGCTGGCCTCGTACGCACGGGAACGCCTATCGCGATTCGAACCTACCACCAGTGGCTCGAGGTTGCTCCCTAGTACCAAGGTAAATACAGAAGAGGGTGCGGACCCGAGCAAAGAGACAAGAGCGATTGGGGTAGAGAGCAACGGAGTCCAGGGTAGAACCCTGTAATTTGGAGGAGGCTAAAAAGGCTCAGAGGTTGACACGATCAAATACGAAAGAAGTACAGGAGTGTCGGAAGGGAGAAAAATATACATATAGGTATATACATATACATAGATAAACGGAGACAGTGTGGACCAAAACCAAAGAGATACCAAGGAAAAGTAACAAGTAGTCTCTTCTCGAGGACTTTCTGCAGGACAGAGAAATAGCCACTTCTTCCGCCTACGTATATCTTCATGAGCGTGGCGATCGATAGACGACCGAGTGAGGGTCGACGTTGACGTTGACGTCGAGGCTCAGGTTGACACAAAACCGAGAGAGCGAAGGAGAGAGAGAGAGAGAGAGAGAGAGAGAGAGAGAGAGAGAGAGAGAGCGAACCCAGTCCGTCTCTCCTCCAGTTCAGATTCCGCGTGATCGCAGCAGAGTCGTGCGTAAGGTAGAGTAAAGGCGGTCAGGGCGCGAGGGGCCGTGCGCGCAGCCCCTAATTTATGGGCGACTTCAGCACGGGCAGCCTCTTCGCGAGTTCCCCGTCGAGCGGCGCGGTAAATTCCGCGAAATCGAGTAACGCCATGCAGGACGATCTTCTGATAGAGAAACAGTCGACGGGGAAGGCACCGTTGTCGCCAGGAGGCGCCCTCGAGGCGGTAAATCCACAGGAGAAATCGAAGGAGGTCGAGGTCGAGAACATCGCCATAACCTCCAATACGACCTCATCGACGGAGAAGGAAATGAGCAGTTCCGCAGCCAGCCTACAAGGCTTCTCGGAGCCGGTCCGGGTACCCAGCCTCTGGACCGACGACGCCAGCCTCCACGCTCTACCCGTAAACGGCTCTATCGCGACTTTCCAGAACTTCCCGGCTGGTGGACCCGGGGGACTGTTCGCCGCCTCGAGCGCAGCCAACGCTGCAGGTGCCCGTAGAGCCATAACGGCCAGTCACAACTTCTCACAGCACGGGAACACCGCACCGGGCAGCAGGCACGGCCTGCCGGCACCGTCGGCACAGCAACAGCAACAGCAGCAACAACAGCAGCAGCAGCAACCGACATCGCATCCCGGCGTCTATCTCCAGGGCAAAGGATATGCCGCGTGGTCCGGGGGTCCTCAGGGACCCCAGCAATGGGGCGGCGCCCCCCAGGCTGCTGCGAGTCCCGCGCTGTCACCCTGGAGTCGCGGAAGGTCCGTGCCGAATCTCCCGCCTCTGCACTCCTCCCTTCACGCGGCCGCTGCGGTCGCGGCGGCGGCTGGACTTCAAGGCCGGAAGCCGAGCCCCACGTTTCCGGGTCATCCTGGTCCCAACCCAGGACATCCTTCCAGTATCAGCCCCGTCAAGTTCCGCAGGAGCACCTCGTATCCTGGCAAGGGAAATCTCTATCCTCCGCAACCGGCCCCGACCTTCGAGGTCACCGCTGCAGAAGAGAGGGATCTGCTGCAGCTGCCGCCGTATCAGCAGGTGCGTTCCTATCATTGTACTTCGTATTCCTTATCATTGACGCCGACCTAGCGAAGGCACAGGTCTGGCGGCACGCGCTTCTACGTCGAAGCAGCGCTGGTGCACGCATAAGCGTAGCACGCATATCGTGTCAGGTTATGCAACGCTTGCTTGCGTATATTTAGCCCGTGTTACGACGATGCGTAACAGCGACGCACGTAGCAGCCGCGAAAGCATCTCGTGCGAATCGCCTTAACGCGGCGACATGCACTTTGCCTATTGTAAAGTAGCTAGAGAGATGTGCTCTCCCTATATATATTCGTCTCGAAGGGACATTAAAAGAATGACCCAGAAAGAAGGCAGGGCGAGTGGAGGGACCAGCGGAACTCGAGCAAGTCGCGTGAGGAGGAGAGGCGAGCTTATTTGAAAGCTCGAGGAATCTAGAATTTCGAATCTAGATGGCAGCGCAATTTCTGTCTGAATGGCTAGGAAAAGTCTCTAGGTTGGATGCCATGTTGAATTCTGACCCAATTCTCTCGCGACCCGCTCCGCTGCCTCTCTGACAGTGTTTGTCCTCTAGGAGACGTTTAAGCTCAGCTATTTTAGCAGTCCGACAAAAATAGGCCTTGCATACCGCAGGCGGAATAGCGAAGATCTCATTATGCTACCTTTGGGTTATCGAAAATTCTTTCTTGACGCGTAACGAGCCTCGCTCAAAAAATTGCTAAAATTTCAAAAATCAATCGACAAGACGAAAGCAGTGAAGCCAACTGAGAGATCGTCACGAGCATACGAATGGGAAGATTCAAAATGGCGATTTATAAATTCGATTCTGCTTCGCTGCACGAACTATTAGTTCCAAGGCAAACACCTCAATCACTCCTTATCTACACGGTACACTCGCCGAGTTTAATTAACCAGCGAGTCTCCGTCCGATGTGTACAACTCCACGTGGGCATAGCCCCAGCCTCCCGTCGAGAGGACCAAACCCGACTTCCTCTTCAGGGCTGTCATTTCCTCTCGAAGGTTCCATCGCGTAGACAATACACACTAATGGAGGCAATACGCGTGAAAAGGTCAGGCAAGAAAATTCGAAAAATTTCCTCAAGCCGCATCCCCAGCCACCGCCGTGTCCACGCATCGCGATGTTCATTCCTCCATCTCTGGACGCATCAGCCATCCGTTTCCCTGCTTGCTTCGCCAATCTTTCGGCGTTACGAGACGCGCTGTGGTCCGGAAATTCTCGAGTATCCGACACCCGAATTAGAGACGGCCTTTCGAAATAGACACGGGACAGGTTTGCGGAGCTATGGACGACGAGATGCTTCGAGAGAGAGAGAGAGAGAGAGAGAGAGAGAGAGAGAGAGAGACGCCTACACCCAGAAACATTGGCCACCCTGCTCCCTCTGCCGCTCTGTGTTTACCCTCCCGAGCACACCTACCAGCCCTCCTCAACGTCACGCAGCCTCGATGACTCTCACCCTCTCTCATTCTCTTCCTCACACATCCATCCTCCCTCCAACCCTTCTTTTTACCTGTATGAGTACCCGCGTACGTGTACTTACGTACAGCTATGCTGGCAGATCGTGTCGGCCAAGGACGGGCTATCGACGCGCACTGGCTCTCCCTTTTCTCCTCTGTGAAAACTTTTCCCCAGGAGTCACCCTGGCCTATCCGCAATAGCGGTGCCTTGCAGTCTTTCGTATATATATATAATATGTTTATATATAACGCGATATGCTTTTCTACACAGTTCCATAGCACAGTCTGCTTCTGTCCGTATCCCATTTCGTATGATAGTCCGCGTCGTGATTCATCCCGAAGAATATTAATCGTGACGCACGTGGTCAGAGCCCTCGTGTCTTTTATCACTGACAGCCCGATAGGCTTTCATCTACTCGTTAAACCTATTGCCTGGCAAAATATCGTACACGTGGATAAACGATATATAGTGATACGCTGGGTTCTTCGCTTTACAGTATAGAAAGTTTACAGTTCGCAGTCAGCAGCACGAAGAAGCATGGCTGCCAGTGTACTGAAAAGGCACGAAACGATTTAGATAACGATTTTTACGAGGGCAACGAGAACGTCTCCCAGAGTTCTTCCATGATCGTTTATAAGAGGCGGAATATTCGTTGGCCGGTATTAATTTTCCGGGAAATCCAATAGATAAATCTGAAGGATCGAAAGCGCGGAAGATGCTGAGCTAATGGGAGAGAATGATCCTTCGTTTAAGAGGGGCGGAGGGGGGGGGGAAGTCAGGTCGGCATTATGGACAATCTCTTATCAGCGTAGTCGGAGTCGGGACAGATGGAACAAATATTTTGTACCGCGATGCGCAATGATCTCTCGCACATGTCTGCAGGGTCGTTCAACCTTATTATCTCTTATCGTGAATAAAATCTCACGCTGCCTATGCCTATATCTAATGTGTTTTTTTTTGGGGTTACGCGTGATAAGGGTGCGCGTGCTTATTATGTATACTTGTATGGTGAACAATTGTGTACGTGACTTTATCTCTCTTCACCTTTCTTATCAATATTCAGCCTCACCTCTTTACCTGTGCGACCTACCTTATCTTATCTCGTGGAACTTTAGACTACAATCCTTGAATGCCTCGCGGGGAAATTCCTCGTCCTACGGATCTCTGTAATACAGAAGCAGGAAGGATGCGTCGAGTTTACACCAGGTATATAGACACGAGCATATAACATTTTAGGTATATATATATATGCGAATGAATATAGGGTGTAGAAAAAAAGAGGGAAAAATAGAATAAATGAGCGTTCCAAACTACGAAGTCACGAGGTATGGAATCCGTTCTAAAATCAGCTGTGTGACTCGAGGACGGCAAGCGTCCCCGCGAAGTCGGAAACGCCCACCTGGACGTCGTGCACGTCATTGGAATTGTTGACGTCGACGTCGCCGTCGCTAGATGGTAGATCGACGCTCAGCCTCGTGTTGCTCCTACGTAATTGTAGAGTACTGCAGCTGATCGACGTCGACGAATTTATCACTGGCGATAAAATTAACCCAACCTTCCCTTCGCTCTTAACAAATCTGATACCGCTCGCTTTCGTTTTGCTCCGGTGTGAATGGCCCCTTTACCTTTCAGCCTTACAGGTGTCCGAGGCTTTTCTTATCTAATATAACAGCCATGCATAAAGCGTACAGCGTGTCTGCCCAATAGGCAAATTTCCGCACACGATATTCCGTAACGGGCGAAGGGATAAGAAAGGTCAAAGGGTAGTCGCAGGGTGAACTTTGAGGTAGAGTACAAAATTCGACCTGCACGTTCCGGGGGATATGTTGTGCAACTGTACAGTCCGTGCTCGCACCAGACCACTGATCGATATAGACCCTATCGAGTTTCTTACGTTTCTAACGATTCCCATCAACCGCGGGAAGTTCGGTGTGAACCCTTGTTTCTACCCCATTGGCAGCAGCCACTAACTCAACTTCGCGATTAGCCCCAGGAGTACCAACACACGAAGAATATGTCTCTGGTGAAAACGATACCGAGGTATTAATCTTTCTTCTTTTTATTCCACCCCCGCCGCCATCGCATTTCTCGAAAAAACATCTCGCACCACTCAGTATTTCCCGCGAGGGAATTTCACGTTAAGAAGCGAAATTATAATCGCTGCAATTAAGGGTCGGAATGGCTTTTCAAAATCGTACTCGTCCCATTCATCGCGATAAATATTCGCAATTATACGACGTAGTACAATGGCACCATCTAGCGTGAGATACGCGAACTACTCTTTCGTTCCGTACTTCGGTCGGTTCGTTCTTTTTATTATGGAGACACCCGGTATATACGTCGTATCTCTTAGTGCTATTATTTATTCTTATATCTTGTACAGCTCTTACGACGTATCGCTCGTATTCTTGCTGCAACTTCCTAGAGAGCCACCTGTACCCCTTCTCACCTCCTTCTCTACCTCCTCTTCACCTTAATGCACTTCCTTCATATACGGACGTCTGGGCAGACGTCGTTACTGGAAGATATTTTTCGTATTACCCACTTATCGCGACTCTCGTTGAACTTGAAGTCGTCTCAGCGACTTTGGGAACGCCCGAGCGAACGACGCGAAGAATGCGAGCGACGCGGTCGTCGCATACGAAACAGACTTACCAGCACGTCGAGGACTCTTTCAATGACTCTTCGAGTCCTTATTTTCACGCTGCGGAATCATATTTAACGTTACTTCGGTTGGTACACCCGTTCTTGTTTAAAGTTGACGCCTTAATTCTTTCCTCGACTTATATTGTTCATCTACGGGTCTTTTGCCCACGGAGAAAATGTCTACTTCGTCGTCCGACGACTTCAGAAAAAAAGAAAAGTATCACCCCAAGCCTCAACCATTCGTTATCCTACTCCAACGACATTGTTACTCCACTTTCTACTCTCCCCGCAGGCATACTTAGGGGTTTCCAAGTTGGCCAAGTTATGCCCCAGGTCCGCCACGCGAAATGCATGCCTACGTATATTTGCATTGTAAATTAAGCTTGGCTCGGAAACGGCCGCCCCTCCGTTTTACAGCCTGCAGCCAGTATAGAAACCAGCCCTGACCTGACTCGACCAAATCATACGGTACCACTTTACAGATTTACCATAACCTCCCCCCACAGGAGCATCCCTTGGTTTTCGCAAGTAGGAAAGGGGGTCGGTCATTCCTGCGGTACCGCGCGACCAGAGAAGTGATATATGTGAATTGGCGGGGTGGTTCTGTAGTTATGTAATAGGAAGCACTGCCATTTCCTCGGCATGCAGTGTTATCGGACACACCCTGTTCTATCGTATCGGTGTCTGATGTCCGAGCATTCCAGCCATATGTGAACTCGCCTTTGATTATTAGCACTGCCGTATTAATCGAAGAGGAAGAGTTCGTTTTTGTTTTTAGCCGATTATTTAAATTTACGAAAATTCTTATTTTTTCTTTTTCGAAGCCTCGTCAAGCGCTTTTGGCTTTTTTGTTGTTACCGCGTCTGCTTCGCCTTTTTTCCTGGCTTACAAC